AAGAGTTATAAAGTTGATGGAGTTTAATTGAGTTTGACTGAATTTTACAAACTTCACATAGATTTTGACTGAATTCGTGTATAGATTTTAATTAAGTTTGTTAGAATTTTATTATTGATTTTCTTGGAGTTTATAGCGATGGTGGTTTGTAAGAGAGGTAGTGGTGGAGGAGGTGGGGGTGGTAGTGATTGTGAGTAATTGTTGTGAGAAAAAGAAATTAGGGAAAGCTGGTATAGAGCTGCTTTCATTTTCTAATTATGCGACAATTGGTTTGGAGAAGCACTAGAGTTTAAAAGTGAAAGTTATCATCTTCCTAATTTTCGTAGGTGTGGTCAATCGATGGGTTATAAAAAGGTATTTAATCATGCATACTTCCCTTAGAGTGTTATTGAATGCACTTTTGGAAACTAGAAAAAGTATTTTATGAGACATGCCTAGTTATCCTTTTGCAAAACAAGTAAAAATAGTTATTGCAACCATGACACTTCATCACTATAAGACATGCCAAATGTGATTGTCATTTTTATGAGAAATCATATATAGCTTCAATGAGTTCATCTACTTAGATATGTATATGATTGCTTGCTTATGATTAGCTTTATTTTTGTTATGATCATATTATTGACAAAATATTTATTTTAAAAGGAATATATTGGATTAAACTTGAAACAGTAGTTTAGAACATTTGAATACAAATATTTAATTTTCAACATAATACTTTATTTATGTTATAATTAAATAATTTTTAGGGTGTAATGAAAACATATTTAATACAAAAAAATATATGTAAGTGAAAATGAAAGTGCTTTTCCTTTTACCAAACACATGACCAAAAAAATCATTTCAACATTATGTCCTTTTTACCCATTATACATAGCTTACAACACTTTCACAACAAAATTTACCAAACACTTAAAAACTGATTCTTGTACCAACATCACGTTTAACAAAAAGTTTACCAAATGTCAAACTGTCCCTAACAGTGCGTTTGGATGAGGAAATTTAAAAGTACAAAAGATTTCATAAATGACAGAATTTAAAATGACGGAAATTAATGTTCTATAATTTGTAAAGTTTCTTGTTTGGTGACTGATTTAAAACACGGAATTTAACATTTAATTGTAAAGTTATTTTTTTTTTAACTCACTCTCTCTTGGAACTTTAGAAATGACGACTTTTAGATAGAATTTAAACTTGGGATTTATGATCTCCAAATTCCATGTTTTTGTCCGCGCGGAATTTCTAAATTTCTATGTTTTTTTTATCCAAACACCAGAATTGGTTAATGTCAATTTAGAAATTCTGAGTTTTGTTAAAATCTCAAGTTTATTTCCCTCGTTCAAACGCACCATTAGCTCCCTTATTTGGCAACTTAAGCGTGAAATTTATTAAATGATCAACATAAACATTAGTGGAAATTGGAGCATCAAATTCATGAGTTTAATTTTCACCAAAATAGGTGTCATTTCATAATTTTCATAGTGTAATTTATAAAATTCTGTTATTTACAAAATTCGATATATACATAAATTCAAACACTGAAATCTTTAATTATTAAAAATTAAAATCATGAAAATCTAGATTCTGTAATTTTAAAATTCTATATAATTTTTAATTTGTTTATCGAAAATATGTTAATTATAGACTAATATTTGGTCTGAATAATTGGTTAACACTCAATCTTCTATAGGAATCAGCACAGTCGTATTCATTCCTTCCAATAGTCTGCATTGTTAGCCACGTTGCATGCCCCCCCCACTTAACTTAATAATTATTATTTACTTTTTCTCCATTTTGTCAGCACAGATACACGAATAAAAAGGCCGGTGGTAGGGTTATAAATTAGAATAATAGGTGGCTGCTGTGGCAATTAGCCAAGACAGCCGGTGATTCAGGGCCCAGCTAGCTAGCTAGCATTGTCCCATCCCATTAACCAAACAAGGCCATTCACGGACTATTTTACTTTTGTTGATTAATCAAATATGGCCCCGCGCACTGCATCTAGCTATGGCCCTTTCTACGTAGTGCATCTCATTGACTATAATCCGGCACAATCCCTGGTGGTCTAGGACTCTGGGCATGATATATAAAATTTGCTTTGGGTCTTTCAGCTTTTTACACCAACTTAATTTATTTTTATGCTTAGAGTTAACTCAATCTATTTTGATGCTTATAGTCATATGATGTTAAAGGGCAACTATCCACCCGCATTTAATACAAGTTACGGAGAAGATTTAAACTTGAGTATAAGAAAACGTATTTACCATCTGACTAGTTCAATTTTTTAGGACCAAATTGAAGTAAGCAAAGAAGAGGACCCCTACCAGTTGTCGTGCACCCACTTTTTGTTTGTCATTTTCTCACTCTCACTAGACTAGCCCACCACATGACCACCACCACCACCGCCATTATTCCCAAGCTGCTAGCGATAGTCCATTGCCGACTATACGCTTTAAAGACACAAGTCAACGGTCAACCACTGTGGACTTGCAACTTAAATATACATTACACACGAAGCCCAATTAAATTAAACCTTGGTCCAGTCCAGGAAAAAAGTTTTTATTTATTTAAAAAAGGACACGCCCAGGCTGAATATTTTGTTGTTGGAGCAGATGGCACACAGACGCTTCTGTAAAAGATTTGTTCTCATTAACGCATGAATCATAAAAAACATATGGAATGGAGCATTGCACTTCTGTTTTCGGGTTACTGTTCAAACAGAAACTGAACTGCAAATTGATGAACTTGGGCGCAGAGAGGAAAAGCGACAAAGACGAGGAACAGAATATGACACTGATAGTGAACTGGCTGCTGTAAATTTTTCTTCTTTAATACAAGCAAGTGAAGGAAAAAGTCATGTTGATGATCTCTTAGCGCTCGGTGAAGGGCCTCAATCTTTATCAGTCAAGGAACTGTGAGGAAGCATCAGCACAAATGAAACCTGTAAAAAAGCTGGTACCCATTTGGAGTTCCGTCATTCTACTTCATGTTTATCATTTTAGTTTTATTTACTGGTTCTCAATATTCTTACTTAAATTTGATGATTGGAGATGACTTAATAGGAAATGCACAAGTGGACCCCATAACACTGAAATACTAGTCATTGTTTTTTTTCTTTCTTTCCATGATCAATGGGAATTGCAGAGTTTTATCATACAAAACAAGGGAAGAAAGCTTGAACAAGGTATAGCCGCGCGGCTATACTGTTTAATATTCGAATATAATAAAAGAGTATAGCCGCTCCGCCATACTTTTAAATATTTGAATATATTTAAAGAGTACAGCCGGTCGGCTTTACTGTTTAAATATAGGCCTTTAATTTTTGTCGGCGCGGATCCAAGGAATAGCCCAAGCCAGCTTAAGAGAAGTTAGGTAATTTCGTAATTTGCAAGAGACTGAGGGGCCTTGAGGTATGAGTGTGTCGTCAATAAATGTGTACCTGGTTTTTTTGGACGACTTTTTTTTTTTTTTTTTTTGTTTGGACGAAATAAATGTGTACCTGGTTGTGCGGCTGGCAGTGGCGGGTGTGGAAAATGAAGCGCCACCAGATAAGAGACAAACGTGAGTGTCCGAGAGACTGAGAATTGAATCTTACATTTACAGTTTACTATAAAAATCGAACTTGGAAACTAAACATGAACAAGAAAGGGTTGGCCATTTTGATGCGAACCAGAATGAGGCCCAACGACGCCAGAGACTTCGCTCGCTCTCCTCTCGCCGTAAGCATATTCAATTTTCGTAGTCCGCGTTTGGATTACGAAGAAATTTCTTATGGATTTGGATAGTGTTGATGTTTTTGCAACAGAACCTGGTTAACCAAACGCTGCCCAATTCCGATGGAAGCCAATCAAGTGGACGACTGGTGCAAGGTGCTCCACAACAACGAAACGAAAAGCTCAATGCCTCGAGCAACAATGAGAGGTAATTATTATTATTTATTTATTTTAATTACTATCAAAGCATGAATTTACATGTTCTTCTTTAGGGATTTTGAAGTTGTACGTGAGTCCATGCACTCGGCGATTTCACTGAGCAAAACCGAAATCTTAGACTCTGTACTGAATGATTTCTCGGAGGTTGGTGCTTAATCGTATTTGGACGATGAAATTCCTTATTTTATTTGATGTTTTTGATAAGAAAATTCCTTATTTTATTCTTAATTAATGTAGGGATATTTTAGCCTCTCTTATGAGAACCGTCGAAAATTACTTGAACTACTTGCCAAGGAGTATGATCTTAACAGGACACAAGTTCGCGATTTGATAAAGCAATATTTGGGTCTTGAGCTTCCTGGTGGCAGTAAGTTGTGTGTTGATTTATTTTAGTTGTTCTTTACATGTTGCACTTGGTCTTTTGTGAGTTTGAGTTGGTTTGTCCATCCGACATGTTTAGGTGACAATGCTCCCTCAACTGGCACTGAAGAGGAGGCTTGTCTTTCTGCTTTCTATCGTATTGAGCGAAATCTAAGATATGCTCTCAAGCCGGCGTACGAAGTTCTATTTGAGCGGCTGAACACGCATCCCGGCGGGTTGAAGTTCTTGTCCATTCTTCGAGCTGATATTCTATCCATTCTCGCGTAAGTTTACACTTACAACTATTACAACTTTAAGAATGAAATCAGACCCCAGGATGAATTGCTATTTTTGCATATTCTCAGAGAGGAAAATATTGTGTCTTTGCGAGCATTGGATTCCTACTTAAAGGAAAAACTTAGTACTTGGCTTAGCCCTGCTGCATTAGAGCTTCACCAGATCACATGGCATGATCCAGCCTCTTTGCTGGAAAAAATTGTGGCTTATGAGGTACGCAATCTTCCTTGTCTCGTAACAAATTTAGGTATATTATATGTATGTAACCTTGACGTCGTCCTATTATATTGTTTAGGCTGTGCACCCAATTAGCAATCTTATAGATCTCAAGAGAAGGCTGGGACTCGGTCGCCGTTGTTTTGGATATTTACATCCAGCAATACCTGGTATTCTATTATTGTTGTCTCTTTGGTAATTTTTGATGTCACCTAAGAGCAATATTATGGTTATTCAGTAGATAATATGTTTGATTATGTGGCCGTTCATTGTAATGGTTTTGAATACATACTAGAATGATTATTATGTTCTATATGTTTTTACTATTTTCTTCTTTTAGGTGAACCGCTTATTTTCATTGAAGTTGCACTCATGAAGAATGTGGCTCAAACAGTACAGGTCAGTTTTGTTTCAGCTTATTAGACTGTTCTTCTTCTTCTTTTCTTTCTCTTTTTTTGTTTTCTGGTCAATGGCCATGTAGTTAATATCAGTATGACAGGAAGTTTTGTGGGATGACCCTCCTAGTCCCGAATGTGAGGCTACAAGCGCTTTGTTTTACTCCATATCATCAACTCAGGTGTGCATATTGTTACATTAATTATTATTTCTAGAATTTAAATAACCTTCAACTCTTTGTTTCCTTTTTGAAAGGGAATATTGACCTCTTATCTTCGGTTTTTTGCTTCCATTGCTTGAACTGAATACTGAAAAAATTCCACAGCCTGGCTTACAAGGGATCAACCTGAGAAGGTTTCTAATCAAACGTGTGATCACACTTGTGAAAAGAGAAATGACAAATATTTCTGTAAGTGCTTCAGTCTCTTTTAAAATTTTGAGGATATATAAATTAGTCATACATTTCTGTCTAAGTCTTGCTCATAGATTTGCTCTCTGACACATGGCCTTTTCTTCCCTTTAAAATCAGACATTTGCGACTCTCAGCCCCATCCCAGGGTACATGCAGTGGCTCCTATCTAAGCTGGCTTCTCAATCAAAACTTTCTGAAGGTGAAGACATACAACATTCGCCAGCTGATACATCTGGTTCTACGTTTTGGGAGAACATACTTGAACCAGAAGAGGAAAGAGCACTGATGGATGCCTCTGTGTAAGCTTCATACTGTAATTGGCAAGTTACTTTAGCATCTAGAGAGTAGCATACTCAATAACATTTTAAACTTTCAGGGAATTCACTTCTGGGAAAAACAGCATGGAAGTGTTGTTCAATTTATTGACTTCACCAAACCATGAGTGGACAAGTTCTGATAAATTGCTTTCAGCATTAAAACCCTCTCTAATGCGACTGTGTGCCAGGTATATTAGTATTCTAATAAAACTAGTTATTAAGTGAATTTTTCTTGCAAAACTGGTATAAATGGAGACGACGGCTCTGTTGTGGTATGAAACAGCTAAGAGTGAATATTGTGTAATTGGCGATTACATCATACAAATTGCTTTTGTAGTTTTGCACAAGCTTGTGTTCTATGTTATTCCGTCTGAAACACTGTTAACTAATTCTTGTTCCTTTGCCTCTAGGTACCTTCTGCAAGAGAAAAAGAGAGGAAAAGCTCTGGATTCTGTTGCAAATTTTCACTTACAAAATGGAGCTGTACGTCATTTAACTCAAGTTTGCAGAACAGTTGGTTAACTTTTCCTCATATGGGCCTTTATAGTTGTTGTATAATATGATGGATTGGGTAAAACACCTAAGATGCATAGATCAATTATGTTGCTTCTTCTATGTAATTCTCAGAACAAGAAAGAAATTTTTTTCAACAGCTAGAAATGAGCTGTTTGATAAGTTAGGTGAATTAAAAGAAAGTATGTTTCATAAGTGCGGGAGTTTGATATGCTAAGTCTGAGTTTTGTTACTGTGGAGCAGATGGTTGAAAGAATAAATTGGATGGCAGATCGGTCAGAGAAAGGCCTTAATCAAAGCGGAGGTATCATGGTGAACTATGTTTACAGGTAACCAAAACCAGCCTTTTCTTTTTTGCTCACCACTTCACTGATGGAGTATATCTCTATTTAATATCACCTATTGAATGGTTTAATTGGTCAATGCTTGCAGATTGGGGAAAATTGAAGACTATGCTCGGTCATATTTCAGTTCAGGGCATATCCATACTTCTAGCGATCTAAGCCGTTATGTTAAGGTAAGTTATGTACAGAAGGGGCACCTTGATGTATTAGTTACCATCAAACATGCCTTACACATTCATGTGCAAAAAACATACGCCTAGGATCTACGAACTCACATGTATTCTGGATGTCATTTTGGTTGCAGCCATTGGAGGAACCTCAAGTGACAACATTATAGGCGGGTTGAAATTCAATGTATGTATCTCCTTACTGGTAATTTGGTGGTTCTCTGTAATGGAAAACCATTGTTTATAAATTTGTGTACAGAGATTGTTATAAGCAGTTCAAATGTTTGCTGTCGCCGTTGATGGTTTTCTTTGATTCTTGTCGCGGAGATTGTGCCATAATATAGATTGTATTTCAAGATTGTAGACAGGCAGCTATATATAATGAAATAAGTAAGGGATTACATATGGTTTGAAATTGAAGGCATCTCTATTCACATACATTTTGTACCAAACTGGATGTTCATCTTCATGCCGAACTTGCTTGAGTTAAACGTTCTTCATCTTTAGTATACCGTGTTTCTTTATAGACACCCGATGAAGGCTCAAAGGGGAAGGATGCTCAACGTAAACTTTATAATGTGGAGCCCAATGTGTTTTACATATATAATACTAACATTAACTTGACATTGCTTGGAAATTGGACTGGGATTGGTCACTTGTCACTTCCCTTCACCTTCCACATGACTTATTTCTAAGACATAATCCCTCATGATTCTCGTGTTGGATTCATCCACCATCTGAAAACACGATGCCACACAACCAGATGAGAAACATAAAACGAGTAGCTTGAAAATTTAATTTAATTATGGGGTATAAATTAAAAAAGAAGAAAAAAAAGCAGACCTTGAAAGCTAATCGCTTTAAGTTGTCCCACTCGAAATCATTTTTACAATATGCCGATCGAACCTAGACACAAATCGCATCATATTCAATTTGTCAATGTCAGCAAGTTAAGTCAGTAAACAAATATATAATAATAAAATAAATATTCAAATTGACCTTCACAAGAGAAGAGACTGACCTCTAAGATGCGCAAAGCTGCCATGTGGATGCCATAGGATAAGATAATAAGTCCAACGTAGCTAATCAGAAATAAGGGCACACAAAAAAACAATCTAATGAAATGAAATGAACATACCAAGAGCGTTATGCCTGGAAGATTCACGCATCAAGTTGGCACAGAATTGGTCTCCATCGTTCAACGAGTTTCTACTCAAAAATTCCATCATCTCTTCATATGCCTCGGGGTTGTAACTCTGCTCTGGGAATTTACTCTTGTTAACAGATTTATTTATATATTATTCAACAGAAAACACAAACAAACGATGAGACGACTGAGAATTTAAAGCAAGATATATGGAAGAAAAAAAGAACAGAACCTCAAGCTGTGCAGTGACAATCCTAACTGCAATGTAAGTGAAGAAACTATGGAGGTTGTTGGCTGCTTTTGCTTCTGGCGATGCTTCTCCAAATCCTGGATATCATAATTAAACAACTTCCAACTTTTCATACCAGAATGAAACACTAACAAGTCACAAATATAGGTGCAGTGCAGAGGGACTTTTACTCTGTAAGTACTGAAACTACCCTACCCACCAGGGACATACATCTTTTGGCAGTGTAGACGACTGGGCAGAGAGGTTCTTCTTGGTTTGGATGGCCCACAAGGAGGACAAGCTAATTTGCTTCTGTTGGGTTTATGTGGGAAGAAACGAGGGACCTGAGAGAGTGGGAGCATTGTTGCAGAGGCTTCCATGGATAACTGAGAGAGAGAGAGAGAGAGAGAGAGAGAGCACAGTGAACTGGGATTTCTGAAATGAAACAGAGCTTATGTTTGAATTCAGTCCAAATATTTTTTTCCCAGTAAAAGAAAAAGAAAATCTTCAAGCTCCACAAGTCCAAGTCCACACTGTCCAAAAAATATCTATGATCTTACCTTGAAAGCAAGTGGAGTTTTGAGAAGATATCCATTTGTGGAACCCACCAGCTGTTTCTGGAGCTCCAATATGTAATTCAGTAGATCCGAACAACTTCAATTCAACCCATTGGAATTTGGGCCGCCTGCCCCATTTGTTTACAATATAGTTTGAAAATGAATATTGCTATTCTCTTGCCCTGTACTTGAAGCCAAAAAAATTCCTCTTTAGAACCAAATTGCTAGAGTGGTTCGTGATTGAACGAATCATAAGCAAAAGATGACGACAAAGATAAAACAGGACGCTGTCACCTCTGTATTTTTAATAACAAAAAAATTAATCTATGATCAACTAATCAAGTCTAGACTTTATAATAATGCAATACTTTCTCTGAACCTATTGCTTTTGCTTCTTCCATACTCTTTCTCTGTCTTTTCACAAAATGATCGTTCTTGCGGAGGGAAATATACATATTAAGTTCTTGGCCTTCCATGTTTTTCTCCTTCTGTCCTTCAAAGCCAAAGCCAAATGCAAAACTGGCTGCAACTTTGCCTTAGCCTCATACCATGTGTGGGAAGGTGCAAATCTCACGTATATCAGCAACATCTTTGGCCAGCAAGTTCCTGAAATTCTCCAATACAACCGTCAAGTATTGCGAGATTATAACGGTACCCGAATCAAAGTACCTTTTTCTTGTGACTGCTTAAATGGTGATTTTTTGGGCCATACCTTCACCTACATAACCCAGCATGGTGACACCTATAATACCATTGCTGAGAATGCTTTTGCCAATCTCACCACAGTGGAATGGCTGAGTAGGGTGAACGTTTATGCGCCAACTCAGATACCAGATAAAGTTCCAATCAATGTAACAGTCAACTGCTCCTGCGGCAATCGACATGTCTCCAAGGATTATGGGCTTTTTGAGACATACCCTCTCCGTCCCGGCGAGGACTTGTCCTTCGTGGCGGTGGAGACTGGTGTCCCGGCAGGGCTGCTGGTTACGTACAACCGAGGGTCTGATTTTAGTTCAGGGAATGGCTTAGTCTTTGTGCCGGCAAGAGGTTAGCATGCATTATTATTATTTAATAATAATACTATTCCTTATTATAATGCACCCATTGAAAATTAGATAAAACAATGATCACTAGCTAGTTTGTTGTAGTGCTTCTTTTGCAGGAGATTAAAACTCAGAGAAGTAGATTTATATATATTTTTCTTCATTATTTTCTCTCAAACCCATGATGAGAATTATGAAGTGACTGACTGGCAATATAATATACGAGTATTGTATTTGGTTTTATTCTTTGTCTTTTGCTGGGTATTTAGTCTCATTCATAGAGAACTTATGGAGATTTATAAGCTTGGCATATTCAACACGGTGCCTATGGTCTTCATAGTCTTCAACAGTTTTTCTATATTTTACATCAGCCTGAAAGGGAAATAGAAATATAAAATTACCTGCTGTGCTTAGCATATTCCATTTGTGAGCGGCTAATCAGACGGAGCTCAAACAATAATTCGAGAATAATTCAGAGTTCATCTGATAATTGCTAGAAATAAAATGACAAATAACCGTTGCATTTGTGGATGTTTGTCCCATTCTTAAAAAAAAAAAAAAACACGACAAGGACCGTCGACATGAATATTATTATGTGCATTTACTGTGAATGAAATAGGAAAGTTGCTAATCAATCATACGGGGGCTTGATTAACTCTCTGGTGGTGGATTGTTATAGTAATCACATGAGGCCAAAGAACCACAGCTACATATTATTTTATGTTCTTGGCTAGAATACTTTATATCCACCCATACTTTAACTCTGAGGCCCAATACTGTGAGAAACCAGCCCAGCCTTGCCTTCAAACCCAAGGCAAAGGCTGCTTCTTCCTTGGATACTTATGAATTAGAGAAAATACTTCAGTTAGTTTCTCTCCCTTACCAGGAGTGATAGAGGCTGTTTGCTTTTTTTCTCACTAAATTTTGGCTTTCTTTTTGGCAGATCAAAATGGGAGTTTTCCACCATTGAAGTTGAGGTAAACTATATCACATTGCATTAATTGATCACTTAATATAGACTTTTCTTTTGATGTTGTCTAGAAATTTGCATCTCATTCCCTTTTGTCCTTCTTTGCAGAGCAGGTGGTACGAGCTTGTCTGATTACTGCTTCAATGATATATCTCTCTCTGTAATGTGTTCAAGGTCAAATATAAAACTTCAAAATGGGCATTGATGATGTCTTGTGCCTTCCATTGTGATGGCATTTAAGCAGGTATTTCAGGTGGAGCTATAGCTGGCATATGCGTTGCAGGAGTTTCTGCAGCTCTAATTTTGGCACTTCTTCTCTATGCTTGGCATTATAAAAGGAAGGTAGTTGAGGCACCGTTTTCTGCAGCATCTGAAGACCGATATATTCAACATGTACATGGTAATCCTTCCAATGCAATGAATTGTCTCTCATTTTCTTTTTGTCATTTGTCAGTTAAAAAATAATCCTAAGAGAAATATAAGTTTAAATTGAGAAAATTATTTGATAAGAGTAAGTTTCTGAGTAATATTAGGTATGAGTTAGCTACTTGAATGTATTCAAAATGATCAATGAGACAAACACATCTAGGCAATCACATGGATATTTTGGAAATCATTTGCAGCAGCTGGCTTATTCCCAGCGATACCAAAGATTTTTGCGATACATGTATTTCAAATGGAAAATTTCGTATGGTTGTCTCACTTCAGTAATTGATAGTTTTTTTGTCATGTGTAGTTTCCGGGCATAGTTCAGAGAAAACTTTGGAATCGGTTGCTCTAGTTGGTGCTTCTTCTCCGGGCCTTACAGGTATAACTGTGGATAAATCGGTGGAGTTCTCATATGAAGAGCTTGCCAAGGCTACTAGTGACTTTAACATTGCTAATAAAATTGGCCAAGGTGGATTTGGAGCTGTTTACTATGCAGAACTTAGAGGCGAGGTTTGTGTTCTTGCTTCTGTGTTCCATCCACAAAGTTTCTTATGAGCTTCACAATCATATAACTATTTATTCTGTTTTACGTGTATAATGATCAATACCAAATCCTGGTCTTTAAATATGAGGAAAATTTCTTGAACTGAGCAGTGAAGATGTAACTTTCAAGTGCTTGTCATCTGACTTGACACTTGTGCGCAAAGTCCAATGCCTGACTCTTTTCTCCTCCCATCAAGCAGAAAGCAGCAATTAAAAGGATGGATATGCAGGCATCAAAAGAGTTCCTTGCTGAACTGAAAGTTCTAACACATGTTCATCACTTAAACCTGGTATTCTACTTTCCCTATGACAGCATCATGACACTGGAAATTTTCTATATATTTTTTATGATAACTTTGCAATGGATTGGTTTTCTATCTGAGGCCTTTAGCTAATGTGGATCGAGCAAGAGAATTTACTCAGAGTATAATACTCTAAGGGCTAAGATACATTTTAGGAACTTTTGTTGGGCAAGAATTCTAATCAACGTAAACCTGTCTGTAAATTTGTTGTCACAAAGTTTCTTTTTCTACTCAGTAAGTAGTTCCATAAAGTGGATTGATCAGTATCTTCTAGCATATGCATTAATGTTTTAACTTTATGCAGGTGCGCTTGATAGGATATTGCGTTGAGGACTCCTTATTTCTAGTCTATGAGTACATTGAGAATGGTAACTTGAGTCAACATTTGCGTGGCTCTTCAGGTGAGAAAGATAATGCATCTGCTTATAAGGTATCTAACTTCCTGGCCTCTTTCTGATTTCACAGCTTTTGCTCTCAGGTCTAGATCCATTGCCTTGGTCAACCAGGATGCAAATAGCCTTGGATTCAGCTAGAGGACTTGAATACATCCATGAACATACTGTTCCAGTCTACATTCATCGTGACATCAAGTCGGCAAACATCTTAATAGACAAAAACTTCCGTGCAAAGGTTGTAAAAAGGCCTTTACTGTTATTGTAGGCTCTGCAATTTTTCTGTATAATGCATATGTAAAATTAAACTTCCGTGCAGGTTGCAGATTTTGGTCTAACAAAACTGTCTGAATATGGAAGTGCTTCATTGCAGACACGTCTTGTGGGTACATTCGGATACATGCCTCCAGAGTACGCAATTAGTTTCCAAGTTTTTTTCATCAGCTCATTCATTACTACAACCTTGTTCACAGCTGTGAATATTAGCATGTTCTTCTTGATAATCTGAACCATGCACAAATAAGTAACATCTCGAAAATATACATTATTTTCATTTCTATTTGGCTCTGAATAAAGCATTTGTGAACAGGTATGCTCAATATGGTGATGTTTCTCCCAAGATAGATGTTTATGCTTTTGGTGTTGTCCTTTTTGAACTGATATCTGCCAAGGAAGCTGTTGTTAGGACAAATGAATATGTTGGTGAATCAAAGGGACTAGTTGCTTTGGTAAGTTTTTCCTTCGTTGCCTCTACTATTACTTCATCAACAAGTAAAACTCCCAAACGGTTTCCATCAGCCCTTAACTGATCAAAACTGTACTTATGTGATGCAGTTTGAAAACATTCTAAGTCAGCCAGATCCGAAAGAAGATCTCGGGAAAATTGTTGACCCCAGGCTCGCTGATGATTGCCCACTTGACTCAGTCTGTAAGGTAAAATTTCCTTCCAGAATGCAGATTTGTTCTCTAGCTAGTAATTTTATTTCATAAAATAAAAGCTGTGATGTCTTCTGTTGTGGTTGCAGATGGCACAACTTGCCAAGGCTTGCACACAAGAAAACCCTCAACTGAGGCCAAGCATGAGATCTATTGTGGTTGCACTAATGACACTTTCATCTTCAAATGAGGACTGGGATGTTGGTTCATTTTATGAAAGCCAAGCTGATCTAGTCAATCTAATGTCAGGGAGGTAGCAAAGCAAAGTAAGTATTAAGATGACATGCCAAGACAAGTGATCTCTAGAGAACAAAGTCCTAACTTCCTTGCTTTTGGATTGTCTGTCAAATCATCTGCAATCATCTGTAAATAAGCATTGCACAAAGATGATTTTAATATCGTTTTCACTATGGAAAAATGGGCAGCAGAATAATATAGAAAAAACGACATTGTATATTACTTCATATCAACTTGTTCCATTCCAGTGTAAATATCAACATTTTGGTTTGCCCTCATTCACCTTGAACCTTGCTGATTGTATGTTGTTGTCGTTTGACAAAGAAATTCATGTTTTTCGGCCGTTTTTTGTTTGCTTTCCCTCTCTCTGCTGCACTATTGGACTTTGCATTTTCTGCGCATGTTTTCTTGGACTGACCCAAAACAAGAAAGTTTACTTTGTTGGGCTCTCGTATATTCCTTACATTTTAGTCCTGAAATTGGAATAGTTTTGTGGAGTCGGCAAACAGCACGATATCTAGGTTAGTCTTTGCCAGCACTAGAAATTCTCCATTTGTCTAATTCTGTGCTCTCCTAAATGTCAAATGGAGGACCAAAAAAACAAGACAGATTTCAGCTTATTGTATTAAATATATTACAAGCCAATAGTGTCCTCCACTAATTAGTCCAAAAGTTGGAACATTAAAATCACATCAATTGATGCTAGTGCGCCATGTCTAATCGTCGTCATTGACATACTAATCTCCGTGTTTTGAAAAGTAATAATCCCAGGGGAACTTTTTCATTTTATATAATAATTCTCTAGAATAATCCGTGTGCAATTTTTGGTTAAATGTCCACGTTGAAAATGACATGCTCATAAATCTAATTAGCTCAATTTAATAAATGCTTGATAAAATAAGGTGCCAACCAAATCCCAAATGTGCATATGACATATTTAACCAAAATATGAACATGTAAACATAAACACGTTGTGTAACTACAAAATTTTAATTTTATAACTTTAATCATTTACGAAATTTAGTTTTTAAAAGAAATTATATGTAACGCGAGAGAAGTGCGTATTCCTAATTAACAATATGGTAACCAATTTCGCAAAACAACATTACTTCTACTTCTAAGTACCAAATCAGTAATGATATGTATTGCCAAAGTGGTAAGAAAAGCACAAACTGCATTATTCTGAAGCTCCAAAATCAAATGTCATGATCATTGATATTTACCAACAACCAACCATATCCGCAAGCATGACCTCAAAAATATCATTTTGGCGGTGTGTGCGAGTGTGACATTTCTTGGGCCCTTGTTAAGCAAATTCCAGGCGTCAATTTCCTGTTACACCCAAGAATCACAGCCCTGTAACAATAGTAAATCAGTTGCCGCTGGCCTAATCCAACTATGTCCGAGCTGTCTTCACTTTAACCATCACAGCCCACGTAGCAGACGCTCTATTCACGCGGCCACAACACATCAGTGTCTCTTACGTTTCCGAAAACAAAACAAAACCAAAAAAAAAAAATCATTCATCTCCAACGACTTAACTGTTGTCGGGGTAGAACAGCCTCACCAACTGCTCAATCCAATTGGTCCGTGCCCTCCACGTCCCACAAGCGCGCCTGAAAAAACACCCGTTGCCATCGTAGAGTCCAGACACTCACAAAAAAAGTAGCCGTTGGACGTCCCACTTGGCACCTTGCCGACATCGAAGGCCAAACGACGTAGTTAATTACGACTAATCTTGACTAAATCCAGCAAGCCCAACGACAGAGTAAGAAGGAAGCCAACAAAACTCAAACCACCTCCTTCCTCTCTCCCATCCATCATAACCACCGATTTCCCCAAATTCCAAGCTCCTCTCTTTGAATGCTCTTTTCCACGAAAACGAATTCCACTGTTTGGTTTATTGATATTTTTCCATGTGTCTGTCTGGAAAGGGATCGTTCTTGTAGTTATTTTTTTCCCACTCTTCTGTTTCTCTGTGGTTCTGATTAAAAGTTGCAAACTTGCGGAGTGGGAGGCACAGTTAGAGTAGCGTGAGTTCTGGGTTTCCTGCCGAGGGCGTGGGAGGAATATCTTGCTTTCTTTTATGGGAATTTGAAGCAATTCCAACACTCCCTAATCCGTAATCCCAGGTTTGCTTTTCTTTCCCTCTCTCCTTCCATCTTTGTTTTAATTCCAGGGTTTTCTGTAGGCCAAATTGTGAAGTTAGCTCTCAGGTTTACCAACTATTTTATTGAGCTTAAAATCTCATGTTCTTTTTGTTGATAAAGAAAAGAAGTTTGTTTGTTTAACTTTGTGCCTTGGTGTGTCTGTTGGTAATCATATTGAAATTACGTGAGGTTGAACTGGTTTTTAATTGTATCTGTGTGTGATTTTGTGGAAAGAAGATGGTTTTCCCGGGAATTATAATTTCCTAGAAACAAGTATGGTGTAAAGCTTCGGGTACCATGTATCATCGAATGATTATTTGATCATTTTGTGTCTAACTTATTTGTGATTGTTTAAGACTTTAAAATTCATTACTTTTCTGTGAACAAAGGGGAAAATTTATGAGCTGCCAGTCGTCAAATACATTTGTGTTACCATATTGAGATTGTATTGTTTTGCTATTTCATCAAATGCCAATAGTTCCAAGGTTGTAAAAGAATTTGCGTTTGATTGGAAGTAATACCAGTGTTTGTAGTTTCCTTTGTTAGATATTGTTAGAAACCCATTACAAGTGTTTACATAATGTGGATATTATGTGTGGATATTATTCCGCTAATGTAGATGTTCATTCTCATTTTACAGGCTATTGCATTTTTGTTTCTGGAAGATATAAATGGCTACACTTGGAGATTTAGGGGTTGGAGCAGCCATCAATATTCTTAGCGCATTCCTTTTCTTTGTAGTATTTGCCATTCTTAGGCTTCAACCCTTCAATGATAGGGTGTACTTTCCAAAATGGTATTTTAAGGGACTAAGGGAGAGTCCCACACATTCTGGTGCATTTGTGCGCAAGTTTGTCAATCTGGACTTTAGGTCATACATAAGGTTTTTGAATTGGATGCCAGCTGCGTTGAAGATGCCGGAACCGGAGCTTATTGATCATGCAGGATTGGATTCTGCAGTTTACTTACGGATATATTTGATAGGGTAGGCTGCAATATTTTTCTCCTATTTCCTTCTCTTTTCTTTCAGCATGTACGTACTTTCTTCTTGTATATTTGAACCGCCATGTTCTGCTCTTAATGATGGCATTATGCTGCTTATTCTAGGCTTTTCAGTGATTAAAAATTAATATTACCTTCCACTTGTCTTTCTTATTTGCTTCATTGCTTCCCTATCACATAAACTTGTTGTGCTTTTAATGCAAGAAAAGGCAGGCATTCATCAGCAACCTTACTAAATCCAATCCTGAATAACTATGATTGCAAACTCACAGCTCTCATTGTGAATTCAAGAACTAGTATTCAGTGTTTTCTGTTTTAATTGAACTCTCACACCCACCCTTCAAAGTTTATATTTCCACTGTTATCTGCTTTACCTTTTCCCTTTTAAGTAGAATATGTTAGCCTATGTTGAGAATTCTATTCTTCGTATATTCTTGTAGGCTTAAAATCTTTGTTCCTATAGCATTCCTTGCATGGGCTGTTTTGGTACCGGTCAACTGGACAAATAGCACTTTGGATCTAGCAAAGCTAGCCAATGTTACTTCCAGTGACATTGATAAGCTCTCAATTTCAAATGTCCCAGCTAAATCACAAAGGTATTTTTGACACTTATTCTTTCTACCCACCCTTTTCTCTTGCTTACAAATAATGACTTGTATTCTTTCTAGATATTGATGACACTTGTTTTTTTTTGTTTTTTATATTTTTTATATTGGGAAACATAATAAATAATCTCACGTTAGCATTTATTTGTATTTTTTGTTTTTGTAGTCTTATTCTATCTATATCTGGTGCTATTATTTATCAATCATTACAAATTAATTCTGGTTAAGTGTTCTCTCATCTTTCTTATGTTATAAGTTAAGAGTGATAATCTTGCAACTCTAATTTCCCACATTAGAAATCCTCCTTTCTTGCTTATTAATCTTACATTTTCATTCCTAAGTATTCATGAATTTTACTCCCCTGGTAACTTTACCATTTTTGTACAGCACATGCCCCTTTTGGATGCTTAGAAACATAAAAAGTTCTGTCATGCATATGCATTTGTATTGTTTTGTTTCTTTGTTCTTTTTTGATCTGTACTTTTGCTTTTAGAAACATTTAGTTAATTGGACAATACTTCTTTTGAGAAGAGGATGTCAACATGTAAATTTTGTTCTTGTTAGTATACTCATTTTTCGTATTAACATAAAGTAAGTGCACTAATCACGTGATTCTATTTTCTCAAATTAAAAATTCTGTAATTTTGATTCTGCATTCTTATTCGATCAATGTTGTCATTGGTGTTATTGACATCTAATTCAGCTGGAGATTATCTATCATTCTAAATTTCATTCTGGTCAAGTGTACTCATCTTTTTTTATCAATATATAAGTGCAATAATAATGTGATTGTATTTGACAGATTCTGGAGTCATATAGTGATGGCTTATATCTTTACCTTTTGGACATGCTATGTGCTGCTGAAGGAGTATGAGACTGTTGCCAAAATGCGGTTGCATTTTCTTGCAACAGAGCAGCGCCGACCAGATCAATTTACGGTGAGATTGACTCCATTCCTCAGTATGTTAGTTCATGTTATTGGATAGTTAAATAAAACATATGACTTATTGATCAATTTACCGTGGTACTTTCTGTTTCAAACATTGGAGGTTATTTGGTGGCTTTGGTTTCCTTTCTTGGAATATTTTATTTCCTTTCTTGAAATCTGTTATAATGATCAATGTTTACTTCTATAGCGTATCATTTGGGCTTATTTGATGTGATAATTTTGAAATGCTACATGAATGCGAACAACTCATTTTCATTATCTACTCTGGAGAAGAGAAAAAGAGATGACAAAACAACTTTGTATCTTATGAATTTGTTTTTTCTCAGGTCCTTGTTAGAAATGTTCCACCAGACGCAGACGAATCTACAAGTGAGCTTGTGGAGCACTTTTTTCTGGTCAACCATCCAGATCACTATCTTACACATCAGGTTTGTTCCATAAAAAAGCAGAACACACATTATTACGCAGTATAAAATGTAGCTTAGTGTTAATAATAGACTTCTGATATTCTCACGTGGAGGGAAATAAATTTTTTTGAGTCAAAAGCAACCATGCAGTCTATGCGTACTTTTCTATAAATTTATTTGCATCAAGAATTGCATAGATACTTTTTATTGAATAGTTAGTCAGTGATTATGTAATATAGATACTTATCTCTACTTGCCTGAATAGTATAGACTTGTGAAACATCTCCATTTAATTAACCGTTAACTGCACATGCTTCTCCAATTATTTCTATTTAAAGAAGTATATTATATAATTTAATCCATGTTATATATTACATGCAGGTGGTATACAATGCCAATAAACTTGCGAAGTTGGTAAAGAAGAGGAAAAAGATGCAGAACTGGCTTGTCTACTATCGGAATAAAGTTTCTAGAAGTAAAAATTCAATAAGGCCCTTAATGAAGGTACTTAAAATGCACACATATGTAGGAGCTAATATGATTCCAGTGTTTAGAGTTACTAATTAATTTATGCTTTAACCTGGCTTGTGCTTGTGTTACTCACAGACTGGTTTTCTTGGGCTTTGGGGAACTAAAGTTGATGCAATTGAATATTATGAAACTGAGATTGAGAAATTGTCAAATGATGTAAGTACCAGTCCTCGAGTTCTTAGTCAAATTTCTAATTCCCGTGGTCTTGGTTGATTTGAATGCATTATTTTTTTCTTTCTCAGATAGCTGAAGAAAAGGAGAGGGTTGCAAATGATTCTGAGTCTATCATGCCAGCTGCCTTTGTTTCCTTTAAAACTCGATGGGGTGCTGCTGTTTGTGCACAAACTCAGCAATCCAGAGATCCAACTATTTGGTTAACCGATTGGGCTCCAGAGCCACGTGATGTATATTGGCCAAACCTGGCAATTCCATATGTTTCACTCTCAGTTAAGAGACTAATTATGGGCGTTGCATTCTTTTTTCTCACCTTCTTTTTCATGATCCCGATTGCAATTGTACAATCTTTTGCAAGCCTTGAGGGAATCGAGAAAGCAGCTCCATTCCTAAAACCCATTGTAGAAATGTGAGTTATCTTAGCCTTGTACTTTTTGACTTCTTATCTGGCTTCCTTTACTAATTACTATATCACCTTGATTCATATGCAGGAAGTTCATTAAGTCAGTCATTGCAGGTTTTCTACCTGGGATTGCACTGAAGTTGTTTCTAATCTTTCTGCCAACCATATTGATGATCATGGCTAAATTTGAGGGCTTTACGTCTAAGTCTTCCCTTGAAAGGAGAGCCGCATCTAGATACTATCTCTTCAGTTTTGTGAATGTATTCCTTGGGAGCATTATTGCTGGAACAGCGTTTGAACAGCTAGATACTTTCATTCACCAATCAGCAACTGAGTACGTAGTTCTTCAAGATAATTTGTTTCAATATACTGTTCAGTGTCTCTTATTTTGGCTATGCGATAATATTTGCATGTCTGGATTCGTTTGTAGGCTGATGCTCTATAAATCAACCTGTGTTTTTGTGTGCAAGAGGTTATAAATTGGTTTGTGTGGCTTCAGGTGTTATGGTTTTAATGGATAAGTTATTCTAAAATAATCCATAAAAAGTTGTCGCTTTTAAACAAGATATGCATCTTCCATCCAAGACAGTTTTGAATTACAGTTCTGTGTTAAACCATAGAGGATTAAGGTAATTCTTTGAGCCTTTCTGACTAGGAGAAATCTTATTCTAAAATTTGTGTAGAAAACCTGGTATTGAGGTGGTTTTCAGATAGAGATATTGTGTTTACAATTCAAACTGTATCAAAAATTCCTAAATCTATAGTACATATAGGGAGAACACTTATTACATTAAGTACTTTTTAACAATTGACTTAATAAATAAGGATATTATTGTCAGTTATTTTCTTTCTTTCTGGCATGATTCAGATCATGAAAATTAAGTTTTTTTCTTCTTTCTGCAGGATTCCAAAAACAATTGGTGTTGCAATCCCAATGAAAGCAACTTTCTTTGTTACATATATAATGGTTGATGGATGGGCTGGTATAGCTGCAGAGATTTTGATGTTGAAACCACTGATAATATTCCATTTGAAGAATTTCTTCCTGGTTAAGACCGATAAGGATAGGGAGGAGGCAATGGATCCAGGAAGTATTGGTTTCAACACTGGAGAGCCTCGTATACAGTTGTATTTCTTACTAGGCCTTGTGTATGCTACAGTGACACCAGCCTTACTTCCGTTCATAATTATCTTCTTTGGCCTGGCTTATGTTGTTTTCCGTCATCAGGTAAAGAGTTGGTATATTGATTATAGAATTTCACAGACGAAGGATTACATTTATCTATTTCTTTTTGTAGGATATATCACTTTCTTTAACCCATATGCTTTTTATTCTCCGCATGCAGATCATAAATGTTTATAACCAGGAGTATGAAAGCGCTGCAGCATTCTGGCCTGATGTCCATGGTCGTGTTGTCTCTGCATTGATTATCTCACAACTCCTCCTTTTTGGATTGTTGAGTACAAAAGAAGCTGCTCAGTCAACACCGTTTCTCATTGCACTTCCAGTGCTGACCATATGGTTCTATAGGTATTGCAAAGGTCGTTTCGAACCTGCATTTGTGACATATCCATTACAGGTAATTTCACTTGCCCCTATTGCCTCTTGAAGTTGGTTTTTATACTATGCACATGATCTCTCTCTCTCTCTCTCTCTCTCTCTCTCTCTCTCTAAGATTTACTAATGACAATTATCATCAACGTTTAACTATTTGTTTTTCTGGGTTTAGGAAGCAATGATGAAAGATACTCTGGAACGTGCAAAAGAACCAAACTTGAATTTGAAAGGCTATCTTCAGAGCGCATATGTCCATCCAGTTTTTAGAGATTGTGATGACGATGAAGACAATGAGTCGATTGACAAGGGTGAAAATGAGAGCGTGATTGTGCCCACAAAACGGCATTCTCGGAGGAACACCCCAGTGCCTAGCAGAATGACAGGTGGATCCTCACCATCTCTGCCTGATGTTGTTGAAGACTATGCACAGCCTTAAATTGCAAGTCGGAAAATTACATTTTAGGTGTAAATTTGACCTTTACAATGTTGCACAAGTGGAAGAAGATAGTTGGACTGTAAATTAAATGAGCCGATAGCGAGGCATATGGGGAGGCCAGAGAGAGAGAGAGAAGAGAGCTGAGCATAGGCTCTGGTGAGCCATGCCAGCTTGAGTTTTTGTCATTCATTGTCCAAAGGAGGAAGCAAACCAGAAGAGGATGAAAAGGGCAATGGAATTGTGTAATTATGTGATTTTGAAGTGGTTTATGATTCAGCTCCCTTTTCTTCTTTTTTTGTTTCTGTTGATAAATCGTGTAATTATGCAAGGAATTCTGACTTTGAATTGGTTTGTAAATCGACGGGATCTCCTTAAAGAGCATAATACAGTGAACCTTGTCCTCCTTACCATTGTAACCAAGCAGGACTTGATGTTAGTAGCATTGTTGCCTGCCTTGTTCAATTATGCTTACCCAAAAAAAAACAAAAAGTTGCATTCTTGAATTCCCGCGTGCTCCCTGCTTCCTCCTCAATCTTTGCTTTCCCCTTCTAAGAAGGCAAGAGGTGAAGGAAGGTAGTAGGCATTCTCGTAAATGAAATTTGTTTCCTCCTCAATCTTGCTTTCCCCTTTTAAGAAGGCAAGAGGTGAAGGTAGTTAGCATTCTCGCATATGAAAATTGTTCCTTTTTTATTTTTAGCGAGTACATGAATTTACAAACTAAAAGAAGAATAAGGGCTAAACAGGAACTAAAACAAACTATGTCTTGTTTGGTTTACGGAAAAGATTTGATGGGAATTAATTTCTCATGTCTTTTTCATGTTTGGTAATGCTCGAAAAGTAACCAGAAAATACCATTTTAATTATTTTCTTATGTTTGGTTTGTGTAGGAATGTTAAACAAAATTTGTTGAATTTTTCAATTATATCCATACGAAATCAAATAAAAAAAAAATACATTTAATGCTATATTGTAATTCTAAATTGCTAGTATGGACAAAATTGTCATACAAAATATGCATTGGATGTTGGCTTATTTTCTCAAACTTTCGAGAAGAGAAAATGAAACCCAAGTGGGGAAGTGAGTTACAATTTCTCCTCTATTTTCTTATGTCATAAGCAACTATTTTCCATAATTGAACTTACCAAACACAGAAAATCAATTGATTTCCCATCTTCAAATCAAATCTCTTCTCCCATCAACAAAAAAGGCAAACATGCCGAATACAATTAATGTACGAATCAAAACAAGGGATTACCGTATTTGCTTAAAAGAGCAATAAAGGAATAGAACCAGACACACAGGAAAAATTTGGTTTTTCACCAAACGCACACGGGTACTTACCTCTTTCCTGGGCTTTTCAGGAAACGCGTAACTTTCTATAAATATTCTTCGTCAAAATTTACCGCCCCATCATTCGCATTCTCTGTTTGGCGTTTCTCCTTGGTCGAGCTTGCGGATCCGTCTGTCACTCACAAACCCCAAATTTTAAGAAATTCGATAGCTTCAACAATCAACGCCTCTCAAAACCAGTTTCAGCTGAATATTTGGCTCTGGATTTTCTGTCATCTCGTAGGTCAGTCCTGTTCGAATTCACCTCTCGCCGGTTTATTGGAATTCTTGTTCTTCTCTGATATTGTCGTTTTCCTTTTCTTTGATATATATATTTTTTTCTGGGCACTTAAAATAGAAAATAAAATGAAATCTGTTATCTGAAGAAGAAAATTGTCAAGGCCCTAATGCATGCATGTTTTGTCGAGGGACGGCCTCCCTCCCTAGCTATCTTTGTTTCCCTTGTACTGCTGTTGGCTGCGGCCTTCATCAATGCAGTGTCCTGTTTGATCAAGAAACAAACAGAAGAAGAAAATTGTCATGCTGGGGTGGGATTGGATCATGGTCTTCTGGGATGCGATTGATTGAATCATGGCTTTATGGGATGAGTTTGAATCAAGGGTTTATGGGATGGGATTGAATTAACCTGAATTGTGGGTTGACTTAAGTCAACTGAGGTCTTTGTTCTGCATTGACTCAAATCAAAACAGATTGGAAATTATAGAAATACAATGTTGCATGGTGCAATAGACATTGTTTTTTCATTATTTGAACACAATTGACGTGTGGATGTGTTGATTATGTTAATCTGCACAAGCTATTATAGACTGTTAATTTTGAATACTACTACAGTACTAGTTACCTAAGAATCTCTTTTGTTTTATAGGTAAGTGAGAATGGAAGTTTTGATAGTAGAACAAGGAACGCTGGGGCAGTATAATGATAACAAGATCCGTACACCTAAGAGAAAACGTTCAAATTTCCTGCATCATGGAAAGGAAGAAGGATCCTCAAATGGCAAAAGGATTTCAAAAAAGCGAAGTGCCTCCTCAAATGTGGTAGAAAGTTGTGAAAATGATTTTTCAATGGATGAATTGGAAGAAGATGAAGAAATTATGTTTTTGATTAAGGCACGATCGCGGAAAAGGAGGAGTGTTGACTGTGAAGTGATGGGAAGAGATTCCTCAAAGGATGAAAGAGTAAAATATGAGTTAAGGAATACTACTAGCAAAATTTCATCCTCTTCACCACCATCTTCATCTGGATCATCATGCACTTCGAAATATACGGAGGTATTATATCTCTATTCATTCATCTCCCCTGGAGTTGTATTTTATTTTATTTATTTAAGAAAATAAATTAGTCTGACAGAAAATTTTGTATTTCCTTCTTAAAGCAGGATAATAGAGAAGTTTATTTGAAGTGTCATCATTGTATGAAAGAGGAGAAGAAAACCATAGTTTCCTGCTCCAAGTGTAAAAAGAACTCCTATTGCATCCGCTGTATCAAGCAATGGTATGTATTTTATACAGATTCCTTTTTCTTTTTCTTTTTTTCTTTTTTTTTTCGAATTTGCAATAGTCATTTTAATTGTATCATGGTTTGTTTCTATTGTTCCTATAGGTATCCTCACATGAAAGTAAAGGAAGTGAAGGACCTCTGCCCATTTTGCCGCAGAAATTGCAACTGTAATGCATGCCTGCACTCAACTGGGGTGATTGAGGTTGGTTTCCCTATTATTACACAGATTGTTTTCTATCCGTTGCTCCCTCTGATAAAAATTACCATTGACGTTTCTTTTTTCTTTTGTTGGGAACTTCAGACACCAAAGAGGGATATAAGTGATCGTGAGAGGGCTCAGCATCTGGAGTGTTTAATTTCCAACCTGCTTCCATTTTTAAAGCAAATTTCTCAAGAACAAGTTCAAGAGATAGAGATTGAAGCTAATATTCGAGGTACAATATTAAATATTTTCGGCTTTGGTTTCAATTTATTTTGAAGTTTTAGACACTAACAAAAACTGTTCTGGCAGGACTTTCACCTTCCGAATTTGAAATACCACAGACCCTTTGTTTCAATGATGAGCGTGTCTATTGGTAAGCATCTGTACTTTACTAGACATTAATACAATATGATTGTTTGGTCACTGTCTAAATGTGTTTTTTTAATGCTTGGAATAGCAACCATTGTGCAACTTCAATCATTGATCTACATCGAAGCTGCCCAAAATGTTCTTATGAACTTTGTCTAAGTTGTTGCCGAGAAATTCGCCAGGGATGCCTCTTAGACCGTGGAGAAGTGAAATTTCAATATAGGAGTAGGGGTTATGATTACATCCATGGTGGAGACCCATCACCTGACTGTTGTCCCTTAGAAGCTTCAGAGGACCATAATGAGCCGTTCACTGAGTGGAAGGCAAACGATGATGCTACTGTTACTTGTGCTCCGAAAGAAATGGGTGGCTGTGGTGATTGCATGTTGGATCTTAAGCGAATCCTTCCACCTGACTGGATCTCAAATTTAGAAGTCAAAGCAAAACATTTATTAGAGATTTTCCGAACAGAACATTCTACTTTCAAGCATGATTGTGCTGAAACAAGAAAAGATACGTTACTAAAAGCAGCTTCTAGAGAGGATTCTTGTGACAACTTCTTATTTTGTCCAGATTCAAGGGACACTCTGAAAGAAGAAGGGCTTTTGCGCTTCAAAGAACATTGGGTTAATGGTGAACCAGTTATTGTCAGAAATGTGCTTGAACAGGCAAATGGATTGAGCTGGGAGCCAATGGTCATGTGGCGTGCTTTAAGTGAAAATATGGATACAGCTAGTACCTCGCAGTTTTCAAAAGTAAAGACCATCGATTGCCTGGCGGGTTGTGAGGTGAGGTTCTCTTACCGGTTATTACTCGATGCACTCTTTTAACTTTCATGCAAAAAAATAAATTATTTGGCATTGCATTTGTTTGAATATCTATAAGTTCCTTTTCAAATCTACTTGTTTTATAGTGTGGTACACCAATCTGATTTCTTATGCGGGTTAACTTTTATATTTTTATTCCATATCTTTTCACACTTCATTGATTTGGCACAAGCTTGTTCCTGCCTGGACCTGTGGCTGCCAGGAGTTTGGTTTAAAAGTCTTCTGTCTCCCTCCCACACACTTTTTTCTCAAGTTTTTTCTTTTCTCTTTTGACTTGGTTTTCCCTACCCATGCACTTCTAATTCTGATGTGAACTTTTTCAGGTGGAAATCAATACTCGTGAATTTTTTGAAGGATACACCGAAGGGAGAATGTATAGTAATTTATGGCCAGAGATGCTTAAGCTGAAGGATTGGCCCCCTTCTGATAAGTTTGAGGACCTTTTGCCCCGCCATTGTGATGAATTTATCAGTGCCTTGCCATTTCAAGAGTACACGGATCCTAGAGCTGGTATTCTCAACCTTGCTGTTAAGTTGCCACCAGGTGTTTTGAAACCAGACATGGGCCCAAAAACATATATTGCTTATGGGCTTATGGAAGAGCTTGGAAGAGGGGACTCTGTAACTAAACTTCATTGCGACATGTCCGATGCAGTATGACTTTAAACTATTACGACTCTCTTTTTATTTATTCTTTCTCGTACTGTAATGTCTTTCCCTGGATATTGGTTCACTTTGCAGCGACCCAAAAAAAAAGGTTTATGCCGATATTTTGACATGTTATTTCAATTTGTGTAGGTGAATATTTTGACACACACATCAGAAGTACAGCTAAGTGATGAGCAGCAATCTGCAATTTCAAGGTTGAACAAATTACATAGGGCCCAAGATGAAAGAGAGCTTATGGATTGGATGAATTCTCTCAAGGATGGTGGACAACCTGGTCAACAGACACAGGATACAGAAGCCCTAGAAAACACTCTCTCTCCTGAAATTAACGTAGAATTGAAAGTACCAGAAGATGAAGATGAAGATGAGTTAGATGGGCCCACTACATCAGGTTCTTCCTCCACTGAAGTGGCAGAGGAAACTGGTGGTGCTTTGTGGGACATCTTCCGGAGAGAGGATGTTCCTAAATTAGAGGCATACCTTATGAAACATTATAAGGAATTTAGGCACACCTATTGTTCACTAGTTGAACGGGTATATATCCATCCTCAGTTTTTGTCTAGTCAAATTGTGCTTAAAAGGGTGCTGTATATATGTATTTATTTACTCTTATGCCCTCATTTTTGTGTGTTCAGGTCATTCATCCAATTCATGACCAATCTTTTTATTTAACATTGGAGCACAAAAAGAAGCTGAAGGAGGAATTTGGTGTTGAACCATGGACATTTCTACAAAAACTTGGAGAGGCAGTATTTATTCCAGCCGGATGTCCACACCAAGTCAGGAATCTCAAGGTCCTAAGTCATTAGTTATCTTCACGATTTCTCTTTCCAAAGATTTTGTCTTGTTTAACAGTTCCTCTAAAATATTATGTTTTCATCCTGCAGTCTTGTACAAAAGTAGCAGCAGACTTCGTATCTCCTGAAAACGTCCACGAGTGCCTCCGTTTGACCGAGGAGTTCAGACAACTTCCGAAGAACCATAGAGCTAGAGAAGACAAACTTGAGGTAACTACTCTGTTTAACTGTAAGCAGTTTTGTTTCACTTTATTTCTTCTCCTAAACTTGTTTGGTCATTCATCTTCTTGGTGGAACAGATAAAGAAAATGATACTTTATGCAGTCGACGAAGCCCTTAAAGATTTGGAAGCCTTGGTATCAACTCAAGTTTGAGCTTTAGGAGCTAACTACCCCAACCTGACAACTATGCAATTATATTTTTCTCATAATACTGATGTCGGCTTCTGTAATTTTTTGCTCAGCAACATTTTTGTAAAGTCGAAAAGTTCGTTGGGGTTCTCTTTGCACTCCAAATAAATTGAAGCCAATTGTACTTGATTTAAGGCCAACATCTTTACCTTGGATGAACCCATTGTTATTGTCACGGTATAAATGTTTCCAATAGATGTTTGAGTTTAAAGGCAAAAGTAGTAGACCAACTAGTGTTAGATTCCTAGCATGAACGTTAGAATCAGATAAAATCAAAGGTAGAATGAAATGAAACTAAGCTAATATCTACACAACGAAATTAAGCTAAACATATGGACGCATTGTGAGTTAAGGAAAAGAACTTTTAGTGTTTCGTGAGAACCATAGGAAGTGTTTTGTTTTTTGGTACTTATTTTGCTCAGTATTCCAAAATTATGTCTTGATTGAAGAACACCTAATGAAGTTCCAACTCCAATGATTCGATGATCCGAATCGTCTATTTTCAAGTTGATCATCTCTACAAAATAAATAAATAAATTAGACCTATCAAGGAAAATAGACTAACAGAGTGCTTCCTAGAAACACGAAAGTTACCACATTTTTTAATACAATCGATAGTCTAAGCTATAAGGGAAAGATGTTTCTTACATACACTACCAAGGTGCCATGGTGGTTCGGACTAGAAAAATATTATTCTGCAAGTCAATGCCTTTTTTCACTGGATTAGATCTCATTGGGGAAATAGTTACCACCTTTAATAAAATGATTTTGTTTCTGATTTTGGTGTTTTTTTTTACTCAAATGATCTTTACATGGTGAAACTACATTTTCATCTGCAAACGTTTCTTCATAGACCTTACTTTTCCATGAAGACTAAATTGCTTTTTGGGTTAAATGGTTTTTTAACCATGCAAAAAGCACTTCTATCTATTTTTACCAAAAACTACAAAAATAAATGAGTTTTTGTAATTAACCAAAAACACTTTGGGCCAAAATCACTCTCAAATGTAAGCACATTTTAAGGGCTAGCACCAGTGGCGAAGCTAATATTTCACATTAGAGAGGGCCCTTCATAAAATAAAACCTATCTCTCTTCATAATTACCGTGAATTTCATATTTTAAGTTGGTTAAATACTAATTTCATCATCTACACTATTAAAGACTTAAAAATAGAGATATTTAGTCATATACCCATTCTTAGCACTAAAACTATAAATAAAGCCTACATAATTTAATTTCTATAAAAAAAAATCCAAAAAATGACAACTGGCCCTATTGAATTTAATTTTGATTATTAAATTACTTTGATGCCCTATTAAGTGTTTTGAGCTTTTTAATGAGATTTTGGGGTTGAGTTTGTTTAAGAAATCAATGACAGTTTTGTAATTTAAAAGAAGTTAAAAGTCTTTTTGTTATATTGTAAATGAACTTTGGGTAAAGTCCATTTCATATAGGTTATTTATTTATTTATAATTTGGGCTCCTATATTGGGTATAATAGTGAATCTCCCCTTAAAATTAGTAATTTATATTCCAACATAGAAAAGAAAAAAAAATTCATAAACCGCAATATTTAGATACTCAACTCATACATAAAAAAAAGAGGAAATAAAAGAGAAAGAAAAAGAGAGAGAAATGTTAAAACTTTAGGAGTTTTTAGTGCAAATATCATAAACTAACCTAGAAGATTTGAGGGAGATGAGTAGAAGGGAGGTCAAGAAATTTTATGGTTGATTTATGAACAAAAAGAACCTAATATATTATTTTATTTTAAGGTAAATATCCTAAAACTAATCTAATATATTATAATATCATATATCATATATAATATGCAAATATAAGAGATAAAAATGGAGTGGGGGCCTGGGATCACACTAGTCCCATGCTGGCTCCACCGCTGGAAGCACCTCCTACGTGCTTCTCCAGAAAATCACTAAAAGTGTTTTTAAGTATGTACTTCTCCATAAAATCACTTAAAAAATCACTTAAAGTGATTATTTGGATAAATAATTCTCCATAAAAGTGATTATTGGCATTCATAATCACTCTTAAACGAGCCCTAAGTTGTTAATGAAAAATCTTATGCAAATGCTTCTACATGAAGTACTTTTGCTCATAAGCACCTCTTCAAAAAGCAATTTATGACTCGCAAGAAATTTTGAATTGTTTTGCTAAATGCAGTCAGAATTTATTGGGAAGCACTTTTAGCCATTGGAAAAACACTCCCAAATATGCCCTAAGTAAAATATTATGTCTTATCATTCACAAATGAAAAGGACAAACTCAATCATATATTTTCCAAATTTTCTCAAAACTTTTAAAAACAATTTGCATGCATCACACACATAAACACCTACACATATATAAATTTTTGGATGCACACCAGTATATACCTTAATATGGCACAAATCATGATATTAGGGCCCATCTGATAACATGATTAATTGTTTTTTTAACTCTCCTTCAACTCTATCCCTGTAGAAACAAAATCATTGAATATATATATATATATATAATCATAATCTTTGCAGTTATTTTATAGAGTTCATCTTGCTCATCTATTTTTGCCAAGATTAGGATGGGATGGGGAAACACACAAATATAGGGGGTTCGAACTCAAGACCACTTGGGAGCACATCAAAGACTTTATTCAATTAAAATTAGATGGCTACTTCGTATTGGAAAAATACTTTTTACTTGCATGAAGTAGTGGAAGAAACTAATTTTAAAATATATATTATTTGCATATATAAACTTAGCTAAATTGATTAGAGCTGATGTGTCCCATTCTTTACTCGAGTTCGAATCTCATTCCACATAGTTTATATTATATTAAAAGGAAAAATAAAATAAAATACATATATATTATTTGAGATTTTTCTATTAGAAAATGGGTTTGAAAAAAGAAAAAGATAAGTCAAATTCTCATTATTTCTTTCTTCTTTCTTTATGTTTTAACATGAATCATAAACAACAGATAATTATAAAATAATAAATAACAAAGTTTAAGAGAAAAATTGCTTCCACAAAAGAAGCTTCTCCTATTGTGCAGGTTCCTTACCCAAAATTACTAGCAGCCCATGAATAGCAACCTTTCTCAAACAACGAAAACCTCTTTTTAGGCTTTTGGAGATCTCAGGCGCTCCGCAAGCAATCCACCATGTTTCAAGGCAATAATTGGCACACTCTTCTATTAGAAATCAACCATGAATCATTGTGTGGAGTATAGTTTCTTGCTCTACAGATCTTCATATCAGTATGCATGCCTAAGCATACCTTGTTTGAAAGCACCAATTGCTGAAGCAGTCAAGACCAAAAGATGAATTGCTTGAGAGCATTGAAACCTTGAAATGCCAAGAGAACCCATCTTCAAGGAAGACCAAACAAAATGGTAGGGTACAAGTCCTTTTTATAGTTAGATCTAGGGTTTCCTTGTTTATGTGAAATGACAAATTTGCCCTTACTTTAGAATCCAATTAAAGAAGTTGAATGAATCATGGCCATTCATTAGCTATATATTAATCCAATATTTCAAAAGTCGATCCAAATCCCACGTAAGATTGCCGTGTCCTCAACCAACAAAGTTTTGAACTTTTCTATCAATTGTAATTGTTGTGATAAAGGATGCACGATACAAACCTCCCCCCTTCACACATAGAGTCCCAATATTAAAAACTTCTCTAAAAAATTACAATAAGTAAATAATGACAATCAAATCTACCTCTAAAACTTGTAAGAAAGTAAGAGGATTATGAGGAAGAAAAAAAAATTTGAGTTACAAAAATACTAGAATTTCGCCTTACATGTATTTTTATTATATCAACAATAGTCTAAACTATCATAAATAAATCTACTCTACAAGACTATGGATTCATACTTGAGTGCAAGAGGTTGATTGCCTTCACCAATTAGTCTAACCCACGTCGTTACACATGACAACATTAGAAACCCACAAGAATTCTATACTGCGGGCTCTATTTCTTAACCATTGGATCAAATAAGAGATATGACCTCATCTTTTACTATAGAATGACTCTAGAAACCCAATTACACTGAGCTGGGGTTCATTCAAGGTCAATTCGTGGAAAATGCTATAATGAGGAGTTTAGAGTGAGGGGGTTGTTTGAGGGGTCCAATCCCACCATAAAAAAATTGTAAAGAAATTATTAGACTTAAACATTTTAAATGAACCCCAAACAACCCCCTCACTCTAAGCGAGTAGTTATATGGTGAATGTGTCATATATGAATCATAAATGTGTACTTTCATATTAGCCACATGATTCATCTGAATAGTAATTTTGCTTAAGTTTAATGAAATAATCTTGTGATTAAGGTTAATGAAATGATCCTATGAGTAATATGAAAGTCCACATGAAAGGTTCATATATAACACCCTCATTATAGAATTTCGCTACTCTAAGCTCTTCATTGCAACAGCTCCCGTCAATTTGCCCAATTATAGTGGGCTGTGGTCCATTCTACTCAATTTACAATGGGCTAGTTTTCTTCTTGGTTCAGCCCATAACCCCCAGAAAACCCAACAAAGCAAAACGAGCGCCAATAACAGTTGAAGCACGTTATCTCATCCATTCTTCTCAGCCACTCTCACTCTTCTCTCTATTTCAGCTTAATGCGAAATGAGTTCTGGTCACGCACAACTACATCTCCAGCTTCAAGCACTTCCACCACCTCCCTTACGCTTTGGCTCAGTTCTATTTCCTTCGCACCCAATTCAATCCAAGAGAATCAGAAACAGCAGTTTCTCTTTAAGATTGTACCATAACGGCTCTAAAAGCTGTGTCTTTGGTAGAAAAAGTGGCGTGATAAGAAGCTCAGTGGCTGAGGAAGCCAATGGCGCGGCAGAGCCGAAGCCCAAGCAGCAAGTGACGGTGAAGAGGCCCTACCCTTTCCACGAAATCGAGCTCAAATGGCAGCGTTATTGGGAGGAAAATCAAACTTTTCGAACCCCCGATGAAATTGATACCTCCAAGCCCAAATACTATGTCCTTGATATGTTCCCTTATCCCAGGTCTCTCTATTTCTCACAAAACTTCTGCTTTTCTTGATTTAATTTATTTAGAGTGCTGGGTGATTATGAATGTAAAAAAGGTGAAGGCCCAGTTT